AGAAGAAGAAGAAGAAGAAGAAGAAGAAGAAGAAGAAGAAGAAGAAGAAGAAGAAGAAGAAGAAGAAGAAGAAGAGAAGAAGGGAAGAAAGGAAGAAAGGAAGAAAGGAAGAAAGGAAGAAAGGAAGAAAGGAAGAAAGGAAAACTCAAATAACTTTCTTGTCCTTTCTGCTTGTTTGGGGGTGGTTTGGAGAAGAAGTTTGAACGCATTTTCAAGCCTAGAGCCCCAAAGAAAGCCAGGTGCTCAGAAGCTGTGCTTAGAGCAGCTATTGCCCTTGGGAAACCCTTCCAAGCCTGTGAATTTTCATCCTGGCTGGAAAGGCAAGTGGCAGAAAGAGTTGACAGTGCTGCTAGGTTCTCCTGCCTGTTGTGGACACCTTGCTGGGGCAAGGTAACCAATGAATAGTTGCTGGCAAAGTAGTTGGTACACAAAGCTGGTGTGACCTGAGGCGAGTAGCTGGCATACTGTGAGTTTCACCTCTTATCCAAAACTTAAAGAATTGGGTTATTTCTACCCCCAATCAATTCTTGGGAGACAAAGCTAAGGAACCCTGGTAGGAAGACAGATGCAAGTTGAGATGGGGTGAGGGAAGCTTATGCGTCTTACTGCAGGCTACAGGAGAATCAATCACCTGGGAAGCCAGCCTAGAAAGCTGCAAAATCCCCCCAGTTCACTTTGCATGATCCCAACGCAGCAGGCGTGGGCCCTTTCAGTGAGGCCCCCAGGCGCTTCATGGAGAAGCTGGTTCATATTCTCTAAGCTACTTTTCTCCGTACAATTCGTGTTTGACTGTGAGATAGAAGCAAGTCCCTCCGTGTTTAAGAATGTGTTTTAAAAGTAGAGACTGTTCTAAGTTTTGACTGGTTTATAGAAGTATATGCAATTCAAAAGATTAAGAATTATTGGGCCCAGGAGATATCTCAGTGGCATAAGTGCCTGCCTGGCAAGCAAAAGGTCCCAAGTTCAATCTCAGGTACCACAAATTAAAACAAAATATATATATATTAGGAAAGTAATACTGGCAAAGGGAAACACAGTGAGGCAGTAATAAAGTTAGACAAGGTTTTCATGGCATGCAGGGCAGGTGACGTGGTCTTTTCTGGATCACTTTAAACAGTTGATCTTAAATTTCCTCAAAATAAAGTCAAGAGCAAGACAATGTACAGAAGACAAAAATAAATCACCTCTAGTGGCGCAAGACCTGAGGCTGCACACTGATACAGGGGTTCTCCCTGCAAGACCTCTGCACTAGTCAGAAAACACTTAGTGCAACTTCTTACAACCCCTACCTCTGAAGAGTCTGCTAGGAGCCAAAGGAATATAACCCAAATGTTCAGCTCCTCTCCACAGTTCACTTCTTCCGGGTTGGATTTAATTCACAACATAGGCCAGAGACTCCCACTAGCGCCAGTGCCAGGTAGGCCTGGGAGCAGCGAAAGAGCTTCTGTTGCCTTCTGTCCACGTTTGCTCTTAACGTCCCTCCATCTTCCCTTCACTTGGGGAGGGCCAGGGAGGTCCAAGCCAGGGCTTCCTGCTAACTTCCTGCGGTAAAGAGCGACTGCCAACAGCAACTATGCTCCTCCGAGAACCCCGTGCCGAAGCTCTCCGGAGGGGCCAGGGTGAGCCTGGTGGCTGCGACCCTGCTTCCTGTCCCTGAGCTCTGGTCAGCCTCCAGGAGCGAAGGTGCTGTAGAGGAAGAAAGCAGCGCTGCCCTCTTCCCGTCTGAGGCTCTTGAGCAATGGCCTTAGATGATGGTCACGAGTCTAATGAGCAAGAGGGAAACTAACTCACGTGAGCGATGTGCACCGCGCACAAGCGCTTTGTAACGGGGGATTCTGGGACCTGGCTTCCCTTCGCCTTAACAGAAAAAGTGTGAAACCATAAAAAAAGTGACAAGAGAGTGAAAGGACTGAGTTATTACGGTAGCAAACTGTGGGAAGCCACATAAACTGGTACACCCCTGGAAGGTAACAGATGGTCCCCAAGACTTGCGTGGATGCTGGGGCGCCTTCTGCAGCGGACTGGGTGGGTCTCCAGCTGTCTCTGGCCATTAGCTTACCTTTCCTGCATTTGCAAATTTGCGTCCTGCGGGTAAGCAAGTACGAAGGGGTGGGGCTTTCCTGGTGTCTGACGTTTTGTAGTTTTAGCCACAAAACGACCCTTATGCCAAGGAGTGGTTCCACACATTCTGCTACCCTTCAGGTCCTCTGGCTCTGTGTTCTTGAAGTTAAAAGCAGCTATGCCTGCCCCTGGGCTCTGGCCTCTCCCGTTTTTCACCCTCACTGACCCTCTGAGCCCTAAGATCCTCTTGGGCGGCTGCTTTCATTTCGTTTGAGTTCTTGCACTTATTAAAGCCTACCAGCTAGCTGTACAGAAGGCCTAAGATGAGCACCTCTTTTTGTGACTACCATAGACAGGATGGAAAGGAGTACCACGGGCTATGTACTGAGCTCTCTGGATAATGTTGTATCTTTTTGTTGTTGTTGTTTAGATTTGTTTTACGTGCTTTTTTAAAATTTTATTTATTTATTTATTTTTTAAATTTATTTAGTGTGTGTGTGGCCAGCTCAGCCCACCAGGGGGCGAGGCTGGCTGGCATGTGGTGCTGGGGGATTGAACCGCGGTCCCTGTGCTTTGCTAAGCTTGTTCTAAGTAGGTGCTTTAGACCACTGAGCCATCTCACCAGCCCCTAGATTTGTTTTAAAAAGAAACAAGAAACATTAAGAATAAAGACAAAAACGAAGCAACACTAAACAATAAAAACAGTTCAGAATTTCAAAACAAGAATAGGAAATTAGCAAGGGTTGTTATATTACATATTGTTGTCATCAAATTCGTTGCTCAGATTACCAGGTATAGGTATGCAACCTTCATCCAATAACTGAACATTCTTTCTTTTAATAAACCTTAATTTTTTCCTTATCCTTTTATTTTTTAAATTTATTTTAAAGAGATAAAAATAATAGATAAGGCATTAGAAAAAATACACATTTCTATAAAAACAAAAACAAGATGAAAGGTATCCATCGTGGTTGTTATAGTGTGCATTGCTGTCTTCAATGTAGTTGCTCAGATTATAGACATTAGCATGTAAAGTTGATCAAAGTATAGATTTTAAACATGAATTGCTACCTTCAAAATTCTCAAATTAGTACTACATTCAGCTATCCTGTGTATAGACTTACATGATTTTCCCCCTTCCTTCTTTTCCTATCTTTTCTCCTTTTCCTTATCTCAAGTGTTTATTCCTATGTTCAGTTTCTTTTCATTTTGCTATATCTGTTGTTCCTTTCAAATTTTACTTACTCTTTCAGGTTCTCACACTAAGGAGACTATACGATATTTACATCTGTGGGTCTGATTTATTTCACTTATGAGTCAACCCTCTACTTGCACCCATTTACCTGTAAAAGACTCATGTTTGTTTTTCTTTATAGCTGAGTAATACTCCATTGTATAAAAATACCACATCTTTTTTATCCATTTCTCAGTTGGTGGGCATTTGGGTTGTTTTGAAAATTTAGCTATGATAAATTGCACCACTATAAACATGGATGCACTTAAATCACTGTGATATGATGTTTTCACTTCTTTTTGAAAAATACCCAGAAGGATAATAGCTGGGTTGAATGAACCTCCAATCCTAGTTTTGTCAGGAGTCTCCACACTGATTTCCACAGCGAATGTACGAGTTTACATTTCCACTAACAGTGCAGAAGGGCCCCTTTTCCCCACAGCCTCTCCACCATTTGTTATTAGTTGATTTCTTTGTGATAGCCATTCTTTCTGGGATGAAATGATATCTCAGTGTTGTTTTAATTTGTATTTTGTGAATGACCAGTGCTGTGGAGCATTTTTCATGTTTTTCTTTGCCATTTGTTTTTCTTCCTCTCTGAAGTATGTATTAATCTCAGATGCCCATTTTTGGATTGAGTCTTTGAATTTGGGACCTGATCATTTTTAGCTCTTTATGTAGTCTAGATAGGAGTCTTTTGTCTGAGTGACTGTTGGTTAAGATTTTTTTCCCTATTTGTGAGTCGTCTTTTTACTGTTGGTGATTTCTTTTGTCATGCAGAAACTTCCTAATAAGATGAGATCCCAGTTGTTGATTCTTTGGAGTATTTCACTATGTTGTATGTTTATGCATGTTCTTCATGATTTAATTGTCATTTGGGGCTCAAAAAACACATAACAGTTGGGGACCATTCAGTCAGTAAGTGAATATGGTTCAGTTTGGTTCTTTCTGCTCTAACCACCTGCCTGGAGCACTGTTGGCCAGAGTGGATGTAATTTTCCACCCCTCCATGACCAAAGTGCTTGGAAAGAACGTGACTTGGAAAGAGGCCCCTTTGATCTCCAGTTAAGTGAAGAGTAGAGACGATATGTACATCATCAAAGATGGGGTTCACACTATGCTTTTCGCGAGTTTTAGTTGTTTGGCCATGCACAAAATGGCTCTATGCATTTGAGCCCTTGAACTTCTTAGAAATGAGGCTACAACAGGAAGACAGATTCCTGTTGTAGTCCCCGAATGGTGACTTCCTGGCCAACTTGCTATACTCAAATGTGGCCCCTCAGTGCTTACCCCAGAATTGTCGCCTCTTGTGCTCAGTAGATTGTTCCACCATTTAACTGCTTCTGTTTCTCCTCTCTCAACTGAGGTCTTGGTGTGATTATCATCTGCTTAGCTGTCACAGTGACCGCTATCACTGGCTTATCCACCTCTGCTATTGCCACAAATGGATATGTCAGAGGAGGTAATTACGCTTGTGGCCCACAGAGTCATTTGTAAGGTAAAGGCAACACAGGCTGCAGCAGCTCCCACTGACCTTTCTGGAGTGTTTTCCAAGGTAATACAAGTTGGTTTCTTTTTCACCTCAGGCAAAGGGATGCAAGACAAATGGAGAAGGATTTAACCTTTGTCAAATCCCCAACTTTCTCATGCAGGTTCCTCTAGAGCAACTGAGAAGGTCGAATGTCATGTTTCACTTTTCACAGGCAGGGTAGTTCCTCTCCCAGGACATGGGCCTAAGTCAACTTTTCTTTGGCAGGGTTGCATTTCGGGTTGTGTTTACTGCTGGAAGCCATCCTTCACCATAATGAGCACTTTTCCGACCTGATCTTTATGTCAGGCTTCTCCTTAGCACAAGGAAACCTCACTGGGGCCAAAGCATGGACCTGAAAACTTAAAGGCAGCAGAGTCTGCAGCAGCAGGGAACCTAAGGAAGAAAAGTGAAATGTAATTTCTTCTATCTCTCATTGCTAACAGGTCTTGGAGTTATCATAATTCTTCTTTCCACCATGGTAACTTCTATTACTGGGTTGTCAACTTCTGCAATAGCAACTAACGGGTTTGTTCGTGGAGGTAAAATCTCTAAGATATCTAATACACTCATCACTCACTACGGGTAGGCGAAACATTTTTTATATACTTGTTATTGATGGGGACGAGGAAGTAGCTCGCTGATCTTGACGAGAAGGCCCTGGAGACGTGGGACGCAAACAGAAGTGTGCGGGGTGGTAAGTCCAGCCCAGGTCTCCTCCGGTCAGCGCTGGTCTCCTTCTCCATGGATTCTCTGGTGCCTTTGGGCCAGTGTCACAGACGTGTGAGTTCCCCGGATGAACATTTTACTTTCCAGGCCAGTCTGCCCACTGCTTGCTGGTGTTTCTTAGACGATGACTTCTGGGCATGGATTCCACTGTAGAGCTCAGTACGTTTCAGGTGCTTCCCAGAATGGAATCTTTCAGAACATTTCAGGTTTCCATGCGTGGCTGGATCCCTCTCTAGCAAGAGTCAGGATACCGTGGCCTGAAGTCCTGGGGACCCGGGCCAAATGCCTCTCCTGGGGGCTTTTTCAGGTCTTGGCGTCATCATCATTGGCCTGAGCGTAGTCGTGACGACACTCACAGGTATTTCCATGTCTGCTATTTGCACGAATGGAGTAGTAAGAGGAGGTAAGCTACTTAAATTCCTGACTTCTACAACATCTAAACTTGGTTGAATACTGGAAGTACAATTTTCATAGTGCTAAGTCTCTAAAGTCTTAAAGAAAACAAAAAAAAACTCCACCATTCAACATCAAAACAAAATCCTTCCCAACTACGAATGGAAGTGTCTAGAAAGGATGTTTCCTGTGATTAAATACATTTTAAAGGATGGAATGACTCTATGTCCAGGAAGCGCGCATAGAACACTATAGCGAACCAAAGGGGTTTCCTTGTGCTGTGACAGCACCCTCACCATCGCTAGGGTCCCCTCAGCCTGGGCTTACTCTGCCATAGCTGACACTGTTCATGATTTTTACTCATGTAGCCAACCACTACAGCACCAGACTCAGCATCTACCCCAAACACTATGCTCCTGGTGGCAAGTAGGCCAGGAAAGATCATCAGAAAGGAAAGAAAACAAAACAAAACAAAAGTTCCTTTCAAGCTACCCAGGAGCAGGCCAGCCTAGGCAAAAAGGAAGCTGATGGAGTTCAGCATAGTTCTTCTCCTTTCTTTTCACTCCCCGCAGCCTCCCAGGTAGAGTTCTTCTCAGGTACCTGCAGATGTCCCTCTCTGGGTTTCTAAATGCTGTCCTACCCACAACACACCCATCCCCCAGCTGCTCTGCCTGTCCTCCTTTGGGACCTTGCTACCTAGGTAACTGGCTAGCTAATTTGAATGAAATCAGGAAAAAGGAAATAAAACACATTTGTACCTCCCATACTATGTCACAGTTTTAGAGGCCCTTGACCCTTTAATCCCAAAGGAGTTACTAAAATGAAAGAAACTCCTCAGTAAAAGGTGGCTTAAACTTTGTGCTTAGGAGTGTTTGCTCAGGGTTGTTCCACACCAACTCTGACTGGTCCCCCACCCCCAAGACCAGATCACTACAAAAGGTAATTAGGATGGTCCATGATAACCAGGCCTCCCTCTGGTGCCTTAGTCACTTCGTTGCCACTGGCCAACTAGCAGGCACCTGCAACATAAAGGACAAAAGGTATATGTTGATTCACGTTTCAGATGTTGCAGCTTATGATTGGCAAACTCCCATGCAGAAAATGCCATAGCAAAAGGGTCTGGGCAGAGGAAAGCTGCACATGTCAGGAGAGCAAGGAAGGAGGACCCGGAAGGCGCTGAGCACTTCCAGGTCATGCCTCGTCACACCCTGGCTCCTGACAAGAAGTCAGGGGTAGCGCCTTCATAATTCAGTCAATTTCCAAAAGCTTCTTCTATAAGCACATGAGGCTCTTGGGGGACCATAGTGACTTGCCCAAGAGACCCTCTAACCATTCAGGGGCCTAGATCAGATTTCATGTAAGCAGAAGTCCATGGCCAAATTTAGAACTCCTTTTACAATGCCCAATGGAAAAGCAGTCATTCCAGGCCCTCCCTGCTGTGCTTGCCCCTTGGTACCCACATTACAGGCAGTTGGTAATAATCATGCTTGTTGAGCTAAAAACAAAAGCCAAGCCTGAATTACAGAATGGATAACACATAGCGCTGTATTAAGACACCATGTTTTATGCAGCAAGTGTACAGCAGAAATGCTTATACAACAGAAAAAAAGAAAAAAATCACTTTTTCCACTTCATTTTCTACCAAAGTGTTTGTTGGAAATTTTGGATATAAAATTTTATTTCACTTGCAATACTAATTTGAATAGTTCATGCTTTTTCAGGTCAAAGTCATTTCTACTGAAGTCTTGCTGCATTCTTATTCGTAGCCTTTCTCTTTTTTAAATTTAGGGTTCAATCAGTTGATTTTATTCAATCTGTCATACAACATAGATGATGCATGGAGTACAAAGAAAGGCTAAGTTGTTCATTAGGATAATAGGATTTCTAAAGTTGTTAGGAATTAGTAATATTTTTATTAGAATAATTAACATTTAAAATTTGCTGAGACATTCAAAATCATGTGACAGGGTAAGTTAAATTCCTTAACAGCTTCCCACGTAAAGCGTGCCCATTTCTGATTTCAGGTGGAGCCTACTATCTCATTTCCAGGAGCTTAGGGCCCGAGTTTGGCGGATCAATAGGCTTGATCTTTGCCTTCGCCAACGCAGTAGCCGTTGCTATGTATGTGGTGGGATTCGCTGAGACTGTAGTGGATCTTCTTAAGGTAATTAAAACTTTTCTTAATACATCCAAGGGGCTAGGGTAATAGCTCAGCAGTCTCAGTGCCTAACAGCAAATGCAGGGACCTGAGTTCGATCCCTGGCACTACATGCCACGCTGAGCCTACAGCAGAGTCCCGGGGTGGTAACGCAAGCCTGTAGTCCCAGCACTGGGGAGGCTGAAAACAGAGGATCACTACAAGTCCAAGCTGTGTAGTGAGACCTTGTACCTTCTTGCTTCAGATTTTCATATGCATAATAGTAGCATGACTGCAGATAGTCACGCCATTATCTATCTGATGTTTCATATTTTTTTAATTAATTTATTTGTGAGTGTGTGTGTGTGTGTGTGTGTGTGTGTGTGTGTGGCCAGCTCAGCCCACCACGGGGCGGGGCTGGCTACACATTATGTACAGGAAATACATAAAATTTTAAACAATAATTAATACATCCAAGCAAGATCATTCAATTCACCTTTCTTTTCCAGGGTGCTAGGGGATGTTATTACAGGAGGATGAGCGGGGAAAGCTGGATATAGGAGGAGCCCACGGTGTGGTATCAGAAGTTCATCTTTCAGTTCTGGCTCGCAGTTTACCAACTGGGAAACTTTGGATCATTTCCTCTATTTTCCTGAGAATATCAACTAGGCCACTAATATCCCATGTATTGAAATAATATCCTGTGCATTCTGCAAAAGTTTCATGCAGTCAGATGAAATGATGTACAGGAAGTGCCATGTAAAATATGAAACATCAGGGGCTGGAGAGATGGCTCAGTGGTCTGAAGCACGTACTTAGAACAAGCTTAGCAAAGCGCAGGGACCGCTGTTCAATCCCCCAACACCACATGCCAGCCAGACCCGCCCCCTGGTGGGCTGAGCTGGCCACACACACACACACACACACACAAAATAAATTAATTTAAAAAAATAAAATAAAATATGAAACATCAGATAGATGATGGCGTGACTATCTGCAGTCATGCTACTATTATGCATATGAAAATCTGAAGCAAGAAGAAGTCCAAACATTAAAGTAGCTCAGGGCAGAGCAGCAGGCGTTTCCTGCTTTGGGGGCCCTGCTAGGACTGTGTGGGCTGCAGGCACGTGGGTTAGCTGCATCTGAACTACCTTCTGGTCTTGTGGTAGCAGCATTGACCGATCCCAGCTGGTCCAAGTATCTCTGTGTGCTTTAGGTGGATAGGTGGGTATATTACCTACTTCATAAAGTATGCTGTCTTATGAGCTGCATCACCAGCGCTGTAGAGCCTGTTCTTAAACTGCACAGCACTCATTTTCAATATTCACATCATAAACCATTTGTTTTATTTTTTTTGTTGTTTTTTTAAAATAATTTTTATTTATTTATTTATTTATATTTTATGTGTGTGTGGCCAGCTCAGCCCACCAGGGGGCGGGGCTGGCTGGCATGTGATCCTGGAGGATTGAACCGTGGTCCCTGTGCTTTGCTTAGCTTAGCTTATTCTAAGTAGGTGCTTTAGACCACTGAGCCATCTCACCAGCCCCTAAACCATTTGTTTTAATTCCTTTAGGGTTCCCTTTCACACATAAAAGTAACAAGCCGTTTCTCTGAAACAAAAAACGGTGTGTGCATACACACGTTTCTACCTTGTGCTCCAGGGGGTCAAAAGCTCTGACTGGGCTGCATCTCAGCTCTTTACCTGACTATCAAATGCTAGTTATCACAAGAAGAAAGAATGCTAGGTCCTTTACCTTCTCAAATCTACGGCCACTGCATTTCTGGGCTGCCTTACCTAGCCCCAGGCATGAATTTCCTGTATCTCGTTTTGACTGTGAACGGTTACAATAAGAACAATGTGCACAACTGTCTCTCCCATGATTCCCTCCACCAGGAGAACGATTCCATGATGGTGGACCCGACCAACGACATCCGGATCATAGGTTCTATCACCGTGGTGATCCTGCTAGGAATTTCCGTCGCCGGCATGGAATGGGAAGCAAAGGTAAGCCTCTCAGAACGGCATCTGCCAGGCAGGCCCTGAACACGGTGGCTGCTGTTATTTGCCACGGGAAAGGGAGCAAGGTAGCACCACAGCAGCAGCGGGCATGCAGCACACCGACTCACCACGTGTGGCACGGGCACAGACCTGAGTCTTTTCCTCCTTTGTGCTGTCAGCACAGTGACACAGCCACCAAGGTCACTGCAGCCACATGCACAGGTCCACTGTGGTCCCAGCCACACTGGATGCCCACAGCTCAGCCCCCCATGGAGCTCCCTTGCAAGCTGCCTGTGATGCCATGGCCCCCAAAATGAGCAGCATGTTGGAAGAAGGTGACAGAGGCAGGACCATCCTTCTCCTCTGGAGTCCAGCACTTCCCTGGGGAAGATAAGGCACCATCGGCCTTGGCCCGAGCATGACTAGATTTAATAGGTTTACAGCCTAGCAAATCCCCGAAGGACGGGGAAGTGTCTCTTGCTTTTTTGAAAACTCCACTTGGGAACTGGTGCAATTTGAAATATTCTTCCATGCTAGAGATGCAAGTACCATAAGGTAAATAAGCACCATGTTTTGGGTTCAATTCTCAGGGAAGGAAGGAAGAAAAAGGAGAAAAGGAGAGAGGGAGGGAGGAAGAGTAGGAGGGAGGGAGAGAGGGAAGGAGGCATTAAGGAAGGAAGGAAGGAAGGAAGGAAGGAAGGAAGGAAGGAAGGAAGGAAGGAAACAACAGGTAGCAGGGGACACTCACTCCGCACTGCTTTCTTCCCCAGGGGAGGCATTACGGTTCAGTGACCGTAGAGGGTAGAATTTGAAACTCAAGGTCTGTTAGGGTATCTAGTTTTGAATCCGGTTTGTATCTCTGTAAGCCTGAGTCAATTGTTTAACCTCTTTGTGCCGCAGTTTCCTTATCTTTGAAGTGGGGACACTAGTATTCCCTACGTCATAGGGCTGTGGGTGGCATCACTCAGCTGAGGGACCCCAGGTAGATTTAAAGCTGCCTCAGTTATATTGGCATTCTCAGTGAGCAACAGCTGCTTGGTACTTATTTATTAGCTGGAGGGGTGACGGAAGGTCTCTCCGAGGCCATACCTCCCTGACACTCGGGAGGAGGAGGACACCTCCACACAGAGCAGGGTGGCCTGGGCTCCAGGTCGAGGGTGACGCCAAGGCCCGAGGGGCTGGAGGAGAAGGATTGAGCCTGTGAGGGCTGCAGGCTGCTCACACGGCGCACACACTGGCCAGCTGGCATCTGGAGCCTTGGGCATCACAGGAACTCTGCCAACCCCCCTGTGTTCTGGCTCTGCCTGAATACTTAGGAAGAGGAAGAACCCACCAGTGTTCTTTCTAGGAAAAACCTGAAGTACAGAAATGCTGAAACCTTTGGCTATGTTTACATTTCTGGAATCATTGCCCTCATTAGCCTCCTACTTCTTGGACTGTTCTAGAAAAGTCAGCCTCAGGTAACCAAGCCTGTGCTGTCCCAGAAATCATAGCATCAATATCCAGATGGAACTGGGCTTAAAAGACAGCACTCCAAAGGCTGCTTTTGTTACCTGTGTTGGACAGCAGAGCCTTAGCTGGAATAATCAGACTTTCTCCAATGGACACATAATTTTACAGTTATGTGGATATGTTGTTAAATAAATCTAGCTCAGCCTCCTCTCGCGTTGCTACTGCAGGCTCAAGTGATTCTTCTGGTCATTCTGCTGATTGCTATTGCCAACTTCTTCATTGGAACTGTCATCCCATCCAACAATGAGAAGAAGTCCAGAGGCTTCTTCAATTACCAAGGTACAGGAGACTAATGAGTCGCTTTTCAGTTAAAGACGCTGTGTTGTTCACCTCCCCATCTCACCCCCAGCACCAGCCATGAGGATCCCAGTGAGGCCCAAGAAAGAGGCAGAAACTGGGTCCAGGAGAGCCAGGCTTGGGTCTCAGCTTCGCTGCTTATAGCTAGCTAAATCACCGAGCGTGTTTGAGTCTCAGATTTCCCTGCTAAAGTGTCAGTGGTGCCCATAACCTCCCGAGGGAATTCTGAGAAGTAAATAGGAGTGGATGTGAGGGTGCTTTTTACATCTTACAATGCAGGGCAAGTTGTCCTTGGCAAATAATAGGAATAGGAAGTACAGGCAGGAAAACAGCAGAGCTTCAACAGCTGGCTCAGCCATCGCAGAGAGCTGAGTTCAGACACAGCTGGCTCTGCCTTCCCGGGGGCTCTGTGACACCTTCCCTCGCGATGGCTTTACCTAGTGCCGCATTGCTTTCTGGTTTTCAAGCATAAGACAGCAGCGGAGTACCTTAGCGCAGCCTCCTGTAGTGACAAGAGCCCTGGGATTTGGCGGGATCCCTCTTCTCTCTCGCCTACTCTACTCCACCTACCCCCTTTTGGCTCCCTTTCCAGTTTACTCAAAAATCAACTGCTCAGGGTTTTTTTAATTTTTCACTTCAGTAATTGTTCAGTTGTCGTTACTTGTTTTGTTTTTTGAAAAGTATCACCTCTTTCTTCCCAACACTCCTTCTCTGCCACGACCATCTAGTTTGCTTTAGATGTTGACGTCCTTTTACTCCTATTTTCCCCTCTTTCTTGCGTGTGTGTTTAAAACGTTCTTCCCTTCCTTTCACATTGTTCTTCCTCCTTTTTCCCTTCCTTCGTGTTTTGCTTCTGGAACTGAGGATATAGCTCAGTGGCATAAACGCTGGTCTGGCAAGCACCAGGTCCCCAGTTCAATCCCCCGTACATGAAAAAAAAAAAAAAAAAACAACTCATGTCTTGCTTCTAGTTTTCTGGGGGGGGGTTTCTTTCTTTCTTTTGAGTATTTGGCAACAACTTGTGGGATTGTATTATTTTATGCACATAAAATAACATTCCTCCCCCTGTCGTTTTCCCATATGTGAGAATTTGGCATAAGGACTCAGGATCCAAACTCGGGAAGAATCAGAGTTTAGAAAATCAATAGCAAGATTTTAAAGTAGACTACTCCACAAAACTCTCCTACAATTAAAGCAAGCAAATAAACAGTATAGCAGGTTGTTGGTTATTTTCAGTATTTAGGCATGGAGGCTGTAACTGTAAGGGGTGTGAGCGTACAAGACTAATATGAGTATGCTAATGTCATGAGTGAATGTTCCATCCTTTCTTTCCACCTTTTTTAGATTCAAAAAGTCAGGCACCCTGGGTCTCTGTGTACACAGAAATTTGCAGATTTTCCAGAGCTATGTTCTAGAGACCTAAAACTTTGGTATTTTGGCTCTTGGCAAATAGTAACACCAAACATCATAAGATCATTCCTCTTAGAATCCAGGAATGTATTTGCACTGGAATTGTAGACCCCAAAAAACTCACCCCCTACTCTGTGCACCATCTACTTGCTTATTTTCTTGTCCATTGTACCGCAGCTTCCATATTTGCGGAGAACTTTGGACCAAGCTTCACGAAGGGGGAAGGGTTCTTCTCTGTCTTCGCCATTTTCTTCCCAGCAGCCACTGGAATCCTCGCCGGTGCCAACATCTCGGGAGACTTGGAGGTGCGTTGTCTTCTCTGCTTTGCAGTCCTGAGAGGTGGCGTTGTGGCTGGCGGGAGGCAGATTCAATGTGACCCTTTCCCTACAGAAGTGGGTTTCTGATTCTCTGGCCATTTCCATTTCTCTCTCTGCATGTCCCATTTGGTTACTATCTCAGGTAGTTCTCCCAAGGACTTGTGCTGTCATAGCAGATGGGCAGAAGGTGTTGACCCAATGTCATTTTGCCGACAAAATGAATAGAGTTCAGGGAGAAAGTGTCGTAACTGCCTCCTCCTTTAGAACCACACTGAGTAAGACCATGGAACATTTAAGAAAAGCAAAACTAGAGCAAAACAAAAGCCAACCACTCTATCACTTGGTACTCCATTCATATGATTCTATTCATATCATTCTAAGAATTATATGGGTTGCTGTACTGGGACATTGGACTGAATGATTTTCAAGAGACTACTAACAATGCCCAAAGAAGGATAGAGCTTGTTTGCCTAGTGCATCAAAATTTGAGCTCCAATGCCATCCAATAAGATAAGAAAGGTCTGCTGCAAAAGGTCACCCAGGAGCCTAGAGGACCTCCCTCGTCTGCCACTGCTCTAGGGTCGCCTGCACCTTCCGAGCCCAGGATGATGATCAAGGCAGCGTCGGGAAGATGGCAGGTTCCTTCTCACTCTGGGCAACGTAGGGACATGTTGCTGACACCCACTGTGTCCTGAGATAGAAAATGGACTGGCTGCTGCACATGGTGGTGCACACCTATAATCCCAGCACCCTGGAGGCTGAAGCAGGAGGATGATCACAAGTTCTTTTGAGCCCATCCTGGACTACACAGTGAGTTCAGGGCCAGCCTAAACTGTACAGAGAAACCCTGTCTCAAAACCACCACTGCCACCCCTCCAAATGGACTGGGAATATAGCTTAGTATAAACGCTCTGAGTTCAGTCCTCCTCACATAATAAAATAATAAAATAAAATCCCTTGCATGATTATATCCCACTCCATAAGAGTGGAAATAAGAAAGCAGAATCAAGCAATTCCTGGGCTTGTATGCAATTCTTCGACTGCCGTTCCATTAATCAGAATTTAGTTTTGCAAACTTATCTAGCTTCAAAGGAGGCTAAGAAATGTGGTGTCCATGCCCAGGTAAAATTCTGAAATATTAAAAGAAGAACAGGGAAGATAGGTAACAGGAGAGTAATAAACAATAGAGGACAATACATAATAGAGAACACATGGGTTTTACTTTACCTAACACGAAGTAGTAGAAGACACAGGTTCTTGTATCAGTAAATTTATAATCAACTGTAGAAGACAAGCACTTCCAAGGTCATTGGGAGAGATCATATTACGATGACTCTCTTACTCATGTTTATAGCAGTGGAGCTCACAACAGCCACATTTTGAAAGCCGCCTGTATGTCCGTCTGAGGTGAACGGGTAGAGACAGTGTGGCATTTGCCCACAGTGGAGTACTATTCTGTCATAAAGATAAATGTGAGTCATTTGTAGGGAAACAGATGCTGTGCTGGCTTCAGTACCACGAATCCTAAAACTGGGAACAGGATGCACGCTGGGTCCGTTACGTGAGGTGAAATCCGTCAGACACAAGCCAAAACGTCACCTGATTTCTTTTCTATGAGAAATCCAAAATATAAATAAATTAAAGAGCAAAATAAAAGGCAGATGATAGGAAACAGGGAAGGTGATCTTTTGCGAATGGGAAAGAGAGGAAGTGGGGAGGAGAAGGAGAAATAGAAGTAAGATGCTCTATATGAGCGTCCCAACTCCCCGCGATGGAAATAGTCAGTCCTTACATACTTCAAATGTGTACTAACAGGTATATTTTTAACAAGAGCCCATAGGAGCTGTGCATAAATGGACACTGTCTGCGCGGGTGGTGGAATAAATATATGGACCAAGTCAGAGTTGAGTCAGGGATGATTTCTCCTAGGGCTGACCTTTGAGCCCGAACTTGAAGCAAGAGCCAGCTGCTGGGTGCTGGTGAGAATGCAAGGGCGTCTCAGGCTGAGAGGACCACAGTGACAGTCGAGCGTATGCAGGGGAGCTGAGAGTGAGGAAGGGTGTCCCTCACTCCAGCAGGAGAAACCCCACGAGGGGAGGGGAGCTAGCTGCAGAAGGCATGGATGCCCTCCAGGGGTGCCGTCCTCACACCACAACCCCAGGCAAGCGGAGACTTCACCCTCAGCTTTACTCCTTGCTGCACTCTCTGAGCCAGTATGGCATTGATAAATGGAGCTAACCACTGGGACATCTGGATTTGTTGTGTCAGTGACCACAGCGCGGTGGTAAATCCTTAGGGAGAGATCATGGCAGGGAAATGAAAGGACTCTGCCCAGGAAGTCAAGGAACGCAATCCAAATGACTCGAGTAGCAAGTGTCATTACTGAGTGTAGGTTGGTCATGGATGTTGTGCTTGTGGCTTCTCAGCACTAGAGAGTGTCCAGGGCACTGATCTAAGCTTTGGCAACCTGTAAGCGTTCCTGTAAGTTAAAGAACATTATGCTTTCCTTGGACCCCTCAGGCACAAGTCTGTACCACATGCTTGGCAGTCAGTCTGGTCTAGTGGGCCTTGACAGGAGCCAGAATGAAGGCCACAGAAGAGGAAAGGCCCAAAGGGATGGCTTTTGTGGGTGGCCAGAGAAGAAATGAAAAAACTCTCAGCTACAGTCCATGGCCAGAAAATATTACTCACCACCATCGAATCCACACACTTGGTTCTTTATTACAAGCGATGTCATCTGATATTTTCACACCAGTTCTATTTTATTGTATTGCTTTAATGCTGGTGAGAACACTGCTGGTTGCAACCTGTTGAGTTGATTTCGTGGCACATAAATGCAACCTCAGCTCAGATCTGACCACTGAGGTTGGAAGGGCAGGTGGCCTTCTGTCAGGCAGCTACAACGATAACAGGAGGGTGGGCAGACCAAACGCCACAGCACACGAGCTCACCCAGGTGTGCGCAAGAAGGGCAGGAGTGGCCCAAGGCAGCCCTCAGCGAAACGGACATTCAACGTGTTGACGGTAATGATGGAGCCAGTGACGAGAGAAGGCAAAGAGCTGTCTAAGAGGGAGCAGAAGGCTGGAGACACTGGGGATGAGAAAATTAAAAGAAAGCGGTTCTTTGAGTAGTGGGAATGTCCAAAGGCTGGACAGGGCTGTGGGGTGACAGCATGCTGGGGAATAAACAAGGAACTTTGGTGCCTTTGGGAGTGATTGCTCTCCAGGAGTGAAACTAGGAATAACAGGTGCAGTGCCATTTTGTACATTATTTTTTGCAGTCTAGGAAATGCAAGCTGCTCAGCTCTCTCCGTTCAGAGCTCCAGAGTCCTTCTCAAGGTGGCCTCGGGTGCCAGTGAGTTAACAGGACGTGGCGCAGGGTGGGTGCCTCAGAGTTCCCACACCGAGCCTATCTGCTAATGATACACTGGTAGATGGTCGATGAAGAGATACCTGGGGGATGAAGGTGCCTTTTCAGAGATGCTGAATGGGGAGGTGACCCACATACTCCCGGAGCAGTGACCACATACATGCTCCATCCTCTCCTAAGAAAAGACTAGAGGGTTCAAGAGCAGCAGAAGGGTAGATCTTGAATTATTCTAGAGGAGCAAATTAATTTGCAGCAAAACTGAATATGTTGAAGCTTCACCCTGTCTATCGGTAGCCAGAGCAAGCAATGCCGTGTCCTCCAGTGCCATAGACACAGTATGTTAATGTCTCGGCGTTATTGGCCCCTGTGGCTTCTGTGAAGCAGTCTTAGAGCTCACAGTAACACATGGCTGTGATAAGAACTAAGTCTCTGTCTCAGGTCCAGGATGGCTTTCTACCTTCACACCTCTTATCATGATAGATTTTCTTGCTTGCTCGCTTAGTGCACGTTCCCACTTAGTGCCTTTGGGATCTTAGTGCAGATCCCAAGAAAGTCTTCAGACTTAAAACAAATTCCCCGGTTTGTACCAGGGATCTGAGCAGAGCCCATCACAGCCATGGCTGCCATTCTGCGAGTGGCTCCCCACACATCCTGCTCCCTGGAGTTTTGGAGAGGATGGTTAGGAGGAGACGCTGGATGAGCCTGCAACAGAGGCAGGGCTGAGGGTGGTCCCAGAAGAGCAGAAGGCGCAGGACCAGAGCTCACAGAGCAGCTCTGCAGTTGGCTCGCTCCACTAAGACATGACTTCCTGCAGTTGGGCTGGGTCCCCGCTGGCCATGAGGGACCTTTCGGATGGGCTCCATCAGCATACTTTCCAGTTCGAAAGAAAAAAGCTCAAACTTTGCTTGATGGCATTGATTGCTGCTCTGTATTGATGAATCGCATGTCCTTTAGTGGGAAGATTACCACCTCCTGGGATTAGGCTTCCCTCAATTCAATATTTATTGACTCCCATTATGTGCCAGGCACTGTCCTGCATAAGCAATGAATGCACTAAAGTCTCTACTTAGTCATGCCTGTTAAGTTGAATTGAATATAATTCAATGTGCGTCTTGGAAATTGATTTAGCCCCCCCAAATCGGATATAAAATGCTAAATTAAATATGATGTGAACTCAGCTTCATGAATGTGTATACATTTATAGGAAAGAGAAAAGCTCGTTTTCTGGTATGAGCTTGAATTGGCCTCTTTCTTCATTCCTGCTTACGAAAATTAAACCTCTCCCATTACAGACAGTGCTGAACTAGATTCCAAATGAAGCATCTGAAGGATTGGAGGATTTAATGCGTCATCCTTTCTCCTCAGTCCGAAGTAATTTTTTTCAAGGCAGGCCTGAGTCAGTATGAAACAAGTACACAGAGAAACAACATATATCGCACACCACTTTCCCCTACACTTTCAGAGCTGATATATCTACACAAAGTCCAAGGGGAAGGGATGGAGCTGGTAAGAAAACCACCTGTCATACTGTTCTGAACCATTCATGACCTCTTCTGCTCAGTACAAAGGCTTACAGGTATCTTTATTTGCTTTAGAAACTGTCCAGAAGCAATTCAAGCACACCACTTTGCCATTTGGTCATGTCTTAGAACTTGCATTAGGAAGGTAGCTGAGGAACTCGGAAGCAACTCCAAGCCACCTGTGCTTACTGCATGTTATTTTCCTAAAGGACCCCCAAGACGCCATCCCCAGAGGGACCATGCTCGCTATTTTCATCACCACTGTGGCCTACCTGGGGGTTGCTATCTGCGTGGGTAAGTTGTGTGTCTCCCGTGTCAGAAAAACAATAAGCCCTGTGACTCTCTTCCTGTCTTGTGGGCTTCCAGTGGACTGTTAATGGTTTGGCTCCTTTAGGATTTGTATGCAACCAGAATTATAACGCTGTTTAAAAAACTGTGCCAGGAGTTAGTTGGAAACAAGGGCTTCATGATTACTAGGATGGCCTTCTTTGGTTCTCACAGAGAAGATGTATCATTCCAACTTGAAAATGTGGGCTCGGCAGAGCTAAACCCAAAATGCGATCGTGAGTGCAAGCCACACGCACGTTGAGAGGTCAGCTGGGCAGGCCGGCTCCACTTCCAAAGGCCTTCTGGAGACCTGAGACTGGCGCCTTGACCCCTTTGGGCTGTTGAGGTGTCATCCTGTGACAGACAGGGGGCGCTCCAGAGCTGAGTGTGGGCGTCTCTGGTCCCCTTGTGCAAGGGTCGCTGACCACAAACACAGGCTAGGAACAGGCCTGGTCAGATGCCAATCCAGCTGAGTGCATGCTCAGGAGAGAGCCCTGAGAAAGAGCAGAGCCCTTCCACGCCAGCAGTGAAAAGCCCTGCTGTTCCCACAGCGGCCTGTGTGGTCCGAGATGCCACGGGAAGCACGAACGACACCGTCATTTCCGGCGTGAACTGCAACGGGTCTGCAGCCTGTGGCCTGGGCTACGACTTCTCCAGGTGTCAACACGAGCCCTGTCAGTACGGGCTGATGAACAACTTCCAGGTTCGTGCTGCCAAGGAGAAATGTCTGTGGCCTTTGTTGTGCTGTTAGAATGTCCTGTCCAGTGAGACTTGTGCCTCTGGGCTCTGGATCCAGTCTGTGTGTGAGGGACAGGATGCCTGTGGGGACGATGCCTGTGGTGGGGACGCAGCAGGCAGTGGGAGAAGTGGCATCCCTGGGGAGAGGTCACCACCTGACACCATGTCTTCTGGTCGCTTGTACGGGATCTCATGGTGGACAGGAGCCGCTTAGATTAGCTTGTCCCATGGCCTTTGGCGTAGGACCGCCTGCTGAGGTGGCCCAGAGTGCCTGGGAGACAAGAGCAAGGGAGAAATTGGGCGGGGAAGGAGGGGAGGGCACCCCGGAGAAATGTGCTAATTTGTCTGCATGATCGGTGAGCAGCTGGAGGAGTAGGTGTGAGGCACAATCCGCATTCATCCATGTCACTCACCAACACTGAGAAATTAACTCCGCTGAAGTCATTATCCAAAATAGGACCAAAATGGATAGAATCTCATCAGCTCTCAGATACAAAATTATGTTTAATGAGCACCGGGCAGGCGAAGGTTTGAAAGCTCTACGTGGAGGAGAAATAAGAAAATCTAATGTTTTTTAAAAGACTAGTAAACAGCTATGCCTTTCCCCAAATCTTGTTAAAATAATACTTTCTTCTGGGTAGAATTGTTCACCAGCAAAGAAACATATTACCGCAAAGAAAAGAGGGGTGATCTACTGTCAAAATCCTTGAAACCGTTCATCCTCTATTTTTTTTTAATATCTTGTAGATATATTTTGGTGAGCACTTATTATTTTGTAAATAACACAGAAGGTCACTGTCATTCTGAAAGAACAATACTATGAATTTGGAGGCAGATGGCAGATGGCACGTACTTGCTAACCTGGCTACCAGGGAAACTGAGGCAGGAGGATCGTAAAACTGAGAGCAACCTGGGCAACTTAGGGAGACCCTCTCAAGAGGAAAGAGAGAGTTTTGTTTTAAAGGGTAGGATGTAGCTCAGCACTCTCTGGGCTCAGCCTCCAGTAGAGGGAAAGAGAGAAAGAGAGAGGTTAGGAGAAGGAAGGAAAGAAGGAAGGAAGGAAGGA